GGGTTCCAACCCAGTCTGGGCCAAAATAAAGAAATAAATAAAATAAAAAGACTCATAAAATTCAGATGATACATCCTATACATAAGAAAATAGGCAACAAATCTAAATTTTCTTTCGTTTTTTTCAGACAGAGTCTTACTATGTTGCCCTTTGTAGACTGCCATGGAGTCACAGCTCACAGCAACCTCAAACTGTTAGGCTCAAGTGATTCTTTTACCTCAGCCTCCCAAATAGTGGGGACTATAGGCACCTGCCATCATGCCCAGTTATTGTTTTTGTTTTTGTTTTTTTTGAGATGGAGTCTCACTATGTCGCCCTCAGTTGAATGCCCTGGTATCACAGCTCACAGCAACCTCTAACTCGTGGGCTTAAGTGATTCTTTTGCCTCAGCCTCCTAAGTAGCTGGGACTACAGGCACATGCCACAACACTCTGCTACGCCTAGCTATTTTTTAAGAGATGGTGTCTCACTCTTCCCTATTAGGCTGGTCTCAAACTTTTTTCCCCAGTTTTTGGCCAAGGTTGGGTTTGAACCCACCACCTTCAGCATATGGAGCTGGCACCCTTCTCCTTTGAGCCACAGGCACCGCTCAGGTCTCAAACTCTTAACCTCCAGATACCACTCATCTTGGCCTTCCAGAGTGCAAACATTACAGGTGTGAGCCACCTTGTGCAGCCCTAAAAATTTTTAAGTAGGCAAATATTACATACATACCTACACACACACACAGCCCTATAAAATTAGCATTCAGACTTACCGTAATAGAAGTTCTTTGGGAAGCTTTTTATTGATTACAGCTTCATCACTATTTGAGAACATCTGTAAAAACAAAACCATGTGTTAAGTGTTACAGAGTAAAAAGAATAGTGTATATTACAATCCCAAGTCATATTTTTGGAGACTTTTTTTTTTAGAAACAGAGTCTCACTTTGTTGCCCTCGGTAGAGTGCTGTGAAATCACGGCTCACAGAAACCCTCAACTCCTGGGCTTAGGCAATTCTCTTGCCTCAGCCTCCCGAGTAGCTGGGACCACAGGTGCCTGCTACAATGCCTGGCTATTTTGGAGACTCTTTAGGTAGAAAGATCTTTGAGGTTTGTAATTCATTCCCTATCTTCAGAAAAAGGAATTAATAGTAGTCAGAAGGATGACAATGTGTGTTGGGTACCATTTCAAGTGTTTTCATGTATTAATACTTTTAACCTTCATATCATCCCTGTCATTTTGACTTTTCATATGAGGAAAATGAACTACAGAAGCCTTATTACTATGGAGTGACTACTTTAAAATGCCACTAAGAAAAAGTGACTCCCCAAACCTGGCCAACATTTACTAGTTCAAGGAGGTGTTCAGAAATCTGAAATAGGGAACATTCACTTTCATGCTTTATAATCATGCAGAAAACCAGTAATGTTTCATAACCACCACCATATCATTCCTGATGCACAAAGTGGTCATTTAAAAAAATTAAACAAATTACTCACAATGAATACTTTGTAACAGAGCCACCAGTTCTTTCACAGAGGAGATCATGAATAAGCTTGCTAGCTTACTAGCTATATAAAAAAAACAAACAAATACCAATACCCAGTAAAAAGTATAGTAAAAACAACAAATAATACATGGTACAGAACCTGAGAGAAGTATGTTCAGTCTGTACTGTTAAGTACTGCAGAAATTCCTCTTGAATTCATTCAGTGAATATTACTGATTAGCCTTTAAATATCAGGCATTTTTCCAGGTAATTGGATTAAAAAAAAAAAAAAGATATTATCTCTATCCCTAAGGAGCTCTTGCTCTACAATGAGGAAAACAGAACTAAGCAAATAGTTTACTCACTATTAGAGACAGAAGAGGATAAGAGAACAAAGGATGAAACAACTAATCCTGCCAAGAAGAGAAGAGAAGGGAAGAGAAAAATTAGCCTAGCCAGTTCCAGGTACTCAGAAGCCTGAGGCAAGAGGATTCCCTCCTTGAACCCAGGAATTCAAGGTGGCAGTGAGTTAAGTTTCTGCCATAGGACTTCAGCCAGGATAACAGAGTACTCCCTTAGGGATAGAGATAGTATCTTTTTTTTTTTTTTTTAATCCAACTGCCTGGAAAAGTGCCTGATATTTAAAGGCTAATCAGTAATGTTCACGGAATGAAGTCAAGAGGAATTTCTGCAGGACTCTTGTCGTCAAATGGAGAGAGAGAAAAGAGAGAGGAAGAGAGAGAAGAGAGAGAGAAGAAAATAGGAAAGTAAGTACCAGGCGCACACAGTCTTGTGTACCTGTGGTCCCAGCAACTGGGAAGAATGAAGTAGATGGATCCCTTGAGCCTAGGAGTTCAAGTCTAGCCTGAGCAATACAGTGAGACATTGCCTCTGAAAAAAAGAGAGAGAGAGAGAGAAAGAAAAAAGAATTTTTTTTTTTTTTTTTAGACAGAGTCTTACTATGTCATACTCAGTAGAGTCCTGTGGCATCACAGCTCATAGCAACCTCAAACTCTTGGGCTTAAGCAATTCTCTTGCCTCAGCTTCCCAAGCAGCTGGGACTACAGATGCCCACCACAACACCTAGCTATTTTTTTGTTGTAGTTGTCATTGCTGTTTGGCAGGCCCAGACTCGGTTCAAACCCGCCAGCCCCAGTGTATGTGGCTGGCACCCTACCCTCTGAGCTACAAGTGCCAAGCCAAGAAAAAAAAATTTTTAAGAAAAAATTTAACAAGAAATACCTGCTTAATAGTGATCCCTGCTGCTTAAAGTTATTAAGTCTTTTTTTTTTTTAAGGATTTTTTTTTTTTTTTACTTCTGGGTAGATGCCCAGTAATGGGATTTTTTTTTTTTATTTTTGTAGTTTTTGGCTGGGGCTGGGTTTGAACCCACCACCTCCAGCATATGGGACTGGCGCCCTACCCTTTTGAGCCACAGGTGCTGCCCCAAGTTATTAAGTCTTAGACAGGAAAACACAAGATCTAATCTATATTATATTCAAGCTTTGTACATGATTAATTCCCAATTTTTACATGGCACATAGCTGGGTGGAAAGAGGACTATCTCCCTTGCAACTAGATATGCTCCAGTAAATAAGTCCCAGCCAAAGGAATGTGGGCTTGGTGCCCGTAGCTCAGTGGTTAGGGCGTCAGCCACATGCACCGTGGCACGTGGGTTTGAACCCGGCCAGAGCCTGCTGAGCAAAAATGACAATAGCAACAACAACAAAAAAATAGCTGGGCAGCAGGTGCCTGTAGTCCTAGCTACTTGGGAGGCTGAGACAAGAGAATCTCTTAAGCCCAAGAATTTGAGGTTGCTGTGAGCTCACACACCACAACACTCTACTGAGGGCAACATAGTGAAATTTTGTCTCAAAAAAAGAAAAAAGGTGGCTCGGTGCCTGTGGCTCAAGTGGCTAAGGCACCAGCCACATACACCTAAGGTGGTGGGTTCGAATCCAGCCTGGACCCGCCAAACAACAATGATGGCTGCAACCAAAAAATAGCCAGGCATTGTGGTGGGCGCCTGTAGTCTCAGCTACTTGGGAGGTGGAGGCAGGAGACTCGCTTTAGCCCAGGAGTTGGAGGTTGCTGTGAGCCGTGATGCCACGGAATTCTACCCAGGGCAACAGCTTGAGGCTCTGTCTCAAAAAAAAAAGAAAAAAGGAAAAAAAGATAATGTGTGTAATTTTAGAAAGAGACATGGCATGTCCTTTTTTCCTCTCTTTCCTCAATTCTGTACTTTGCATGTGGTGAGGATGACTGGAACTCCATCTTATAACATGAAAGTAAAAGCTATACCTTTTTTTTTTTTTTTTTTTGGAGACAGAGCCTCAAGCTGTCCCCCTGGGCAGAGTGCCGTGACATTACAGCTCACAGCAACCTCCAACTCCTAGGCTCAAGCGAGTCTCCTGCCTCCGCCTCCCAAGTAGCTGGGACCACAGGCGCCGCCACAATGCCCGGCTATTTTTTGGTTGCAGCCGTCATTGTTGTTTGGCGGGTCCGGGCTGGGGATTCGAACCCGCCACCTTAGGTGTACGTGGCTGGCGCCTTAGCCAGTTGAGCTATAGGTGCTGAGCCAAGCTATAGCTTTAAAGACAAGGAGAAAACTAGAAAAATTCTGTCTCTGACTGCAGAGACAGCATAGCAACTAAAAACTGTTTACATTTGGACTTTGTATAAGAGAAAATAAATTTCTATCATATTTAAGTCACTTTTTCTTTTTCTCTGACATATGTAGCTAAATATACAGAAGTCCACCCATCAGTGGTTTCAATTATTTGTAGTCAATAGACAGTACAAAAACAGGTGAGTAAAATATTACATACAAAAAGATAATTAGAGTGAGATACCACATTCACATAACTATTACAGTATAGTATTTTAACTTTTTAAATTTATTTTTAGTTACTGTTAATTTCTTACTGATCCTAACTTATAAATTATACCTTATCACAGGTATGTATGTATAGTAAAAAACATATACAGGTACTATCCTCAGTTTTAGGCATCCATAGGGGATCTTAGAAGAGATTCCTCATAAATAAGGTGGGGGATGAATTACAGAACTTTATTTTGATTTTAAAAGATACCTTTGGTTTTGCAAGATGAAAAGTTGTGAGGATTGACTGTACAACATTGTGAATGCACTTAACACTGCTGAACTTTATGTACACTTAAAAAAAGAGTAAACATTAAGTTTTATATTACATGTATTTCTCAACAAAAACTTAAAAAGTACAATTTTTTCATATTTTAGCATCTGTGAAATTAGTCTGTATCTTACAATTAAGATAAAAACACTTGTATATAAAAAATGCTGTATTTTACAATTCATGGCACATGAATTTAGTGACACCCAGTAAAGTATAACCAAAGGGAGGAAAACAATATAGAACCTAAGGACCATTTCATTCTTCTGAAACAGGCTCTTGCTCTTTTATTTATGCTTTCTTTCTAGAATAACTGTGGAACTAAATCTGTTCTGTGAACAGAAACAGATTCACGTGCATTGTACCTATTACCTACTGCATGAAGCTTTTCCCAGTCTCTTTAAGTAGATGTGCCTATTCCTTCTATGAAATCCCAAAGCACCCCCAAAGCTCAGAATACCAGTGCTGGGCTGGTGTGGTGTCCTTTATATCAGACTGTAAGCTCTGAGAAGAAAAGGATCCTATCTGTTTAGTTCACTACAATACAGTCAGCAACCAACACAGTGCCTAGAAATTGCTGATTCAGTGAATGTTATTTAAACTTTAGGGATCTGGAAGTACTCTAATCCCTCTTTTTGACCGTAAATTCCCAACAGCCGTCTATGGCTTTTTCACTTTATACCACTAAAATAGAGTGCCTTGCAAAAAAAAAAAAAAAAAAAGGCAACACAAATATTTAATAAATTACCCATGTAGCAAAATAAAATGTATATCATATCCGCACAACAACAGATAGATTGAATAGTACTACAAACAAACACCACAACAATTAAAGTATGTGATGAAACAAAAGTTTGGAGACCCAATTTACACCCCATTTATTATGAGGCTTCCAATGATAAAGAAGTTTCTTGTTTAAAAAATTTTCTTTTTTAAATTTCTTGCTCCAGGATTGGCACCTGTGGCTCAAGTGGCGAAGGTGCCAGCCACATACACCAAAGGTGGTGGGTTCGAATCCAGCCCCATCTTGCCAAACAACAATGACAGCTGCAACCAGAAAACAGCTGGGCGTTGTGGCAGGTGCCTGTGGTCCCAGCTACTTGGGAGGCTGAGGCAGGAAACTCGCTTGAGCCCAGAAGTAGGAGGTTGCTGTGAGTTTTGATGCCA